CGCGGGGCAGCTGACCCCGAGGGGAAGGACGTGGGGGCCCCGGGGGACCAGCGGCAGCCGCGCTGCCCCGCGAGGAGGATGCGCACGGGAGGAGAGGAAGGGTGCGCTAGGGAAAAGGCTCCTGCGTGCTGGAAAACCCTTTTTGTTGGGAATTTGATCAGCTCTCCCGTCAGCTCTTAACTTTTCCCCCTCATTACGGACCTGGGAAAGCCCTTGAAGGGGCTCCCTTCTCCACCTGCTTTCCCGCCTCTTTCCTGAATTTCTGTTCCAAGAGGGAGCAGATTAGTTCGGAAGCAGCCTGAGGTTTAGAGGTGGTGCCTCTGAGCTGGCACCAAGTTCCAAAAACCACTTTCTTCAAATGAAAGGTGTTTTGTTTGTTTTAATGCAGAAAACAAATTGCCAATAATAACAAACTTGTGGCTCCCGTGTAAATACTTTTCCCTCTTGCTCCAGGGAAGCAGCGAAGCCCCCGGTGCCCTGGACTGTGCCCAGCAGGTGCCAGGTGAGCTGGTGCCAGCTAAAATAAAACAAAGCGGGAATCTCTGAAGTGTTTCCCAAGCCGTGCGGTGCAGCAGGCCTGGCTGCCCTATCCCTGGGCCCTTCTGTGTTTCCAGCCGCAAGCCCCGGCACAGAACCTGCCGGAGAGACCCCCGGACGGCAGCGGTGGCCGTGGAGGGGACATTTGCTCGGCCGCTGAGCGCCCTGTGGTTCCGATGCCTCCTCGGCTCCAGGCAAAACAAAAAATCCCCAAGCAATACTTCGTTTAAAGAGAATTCCTGATAAGATTTTATTCTGAGTTTTGCAAACAATAAAAATTTTCCTGTTAAAAAAAAGCTATGTCAAGAATCACCTCACAACTAGGAATATGTACATTCTTAGAAGCAGCCAATCTTTCACCTGCCTCTCTATACACAAGGCTGTGGCCATTGTCAGGAGGCTAAATCACCCCCAGGTGTGTTTGTAAGCAATGCACTACACCAGCTAAACTGATGTTATGTTTTAAGGCAATCATTTACAGCTGCCCTAGATAAAGTTTCTATTCCCCCAATGGCAAAACACTCCAGTTTGCTCCTATGCTTCCTCTGCGGAGAGCATCCAGAAGAAAAGGCCCCTATGTGTGAGACCATAGGGAAGAACCAGCTGTAATGCAGAGGGGTGAAATTCCCATTAATGGCCAAGTTCTCGGCAGAACAGAGCAGCAGACACGTGGCCACAGCTCCGAGTGAAGGCCCTGGAAGACCCATATTTTTACCACAGGGGTAGGTGAAGAGGGGGAGATTTTGGTGGTGTCCGTCCTTGCGCCAAAAGACAATTTTGGTCGATTTATCAAAGCAGCATGCAGTTTAAAGCACCTAGTTAGGAGTGGAAACCCCAGTCCCGGGCCTGGGTGAAGCACCCAAGGCGATGAAGGGAGTCGGTGTCAGCGCTGGACACCAAGCGAGCCCCTTTCCAGGCTCAGGGGGGATGCGGAGCCTCCCTGGTGCCCCCGTTGCTGCTGGGGAGCAGCACCTGCTGCAAGTGATTCCACACAAGCAGAGGGGCAGCCTGTGCCACAGGGCGCCTTCCCGCATCGGAGCCATCCGGCTTCCCAGGTTGGCGCCAGCCCCAACGCGGCTGTGCTGTGGGCCTTGGTTTTACCACAAGCCCCTTTCAAAGGCAAATTCTGTCCCTTCCCCCTGATGAGGGCTCACTCCTGGCTGCTTTGAAGATACCAAGAGCACTCTCAGCAGAAAGGATGGTTTTGCCAAAGCACAACACACCCAAATGGCTCTTTGTTCAGTGCCCAGCACAGGAGCAGACCTGGCATTCAGCTGCATTCAAGCACTGCTAGGAAAAACATTAACTCTTTTAAGGAAGAAACAACCTGAAATACCCTTCACATTGGGCCTGATGTCTGTAAGAAATAACATGTACTACCTAAAAGCTGGTTGCATCTCACAAGCACCAGTTTTAAAGAGGAACGTGAGAATCAGAGGAGAAAATGAAGTAGCCCACTGTGCTGTAATAATTAGCTTTGTTTCTGATCCACACTGTTTTTAAAAAGATTAGCAAGGAAGGAAATACCTTTTGTGACCCTGAGTTTGTCATTGTGTTTTTGCAGCATTAAGTCATAACTGGGAGATTCCCAATTTGGCAGGCTCCAAATCACTTAGAAAACATTAAAGTATTTAAATATCTAGAACAAAAGTCTCGCTGTTGAGGCACATACCTGGTTAAAACGGTGGAGAAAAACAACAGCTAAATCAGATGTCATTTGCACTTTTAAGATTTCAGGTCAGGAACTTCTGTAATGGATCTGCAATACATAATGTATCAGACAGGCAGAGATCTTAACATTTCAGGGTATTTGCAGAAACAGCTTATAGGAGAGCTTATGAAACACAGTTGTTTACATTGGCAAATTCACTACTAGGAAGTTGCAGCTAAATGTGTTTCATCTCAAACCCCTGTGATCATATTTTCTTTCCAAAACACACACACACACACACACACACACACACACACACAGAGAAAGATGCTTCAGGATGTTCCAGTTCCTAATACTCCACAATTGATAAGACTTCCAAAGAAAAATATTTGTGCTGACTTTGAACACATATTCTTTTGTTTGTAATGAATATTTCAAAAAGGTGAGGAACTGGCAAATCGCACTGTGTCGTTTGGACAAGGGGACACCCCCGATTAGCTTGACGGGGTGGCAGTTTCATGCCATGGCATGGATTTGCTTGCATCAAGGCCATTAAGTGACGGGCAGTGAAGCCTGCAAAAATGAGACTCTCCATTTTTGCACTGGTTTCCAATCAAAGACTCCTTCCTAATTCCCCTGCAAAGGACTTGCCAATCCACCAAAACAGGAGTGACACTGAATTTGCTGAAACCTTGAGATTTCTCTTCTCAGAGGAGCTGACAACACGACACTTGGACAAACCAAGTTTCTCTCCATCCCTCTGTGACAGGGCAGCAGTGGCCAACTACCGGCTACATCCCTAAATGGAAATAAAGGAAGATGTAAGAAGATGTGGGGAAAGAGGAGCAAACCTTAGTAGTTAGGACACCTGTCACAGGAGGTAAAAACCTATAGCACATACAACCTCCAGCTTTCCACATCTTGTTTCCAGTGCAAGCAGGTCCAGTGGGCACAAAGCAGTGCATCAAGCCAACTGCAGATGGAGTACGAAGTGATGCTTAAGAAAAGCTTGAAACCATCTGATCCAAAATATTTAAGTGCACTAGCAAAATGCTACACTTTCATAAACAGTTGCAGTACCAGAAACTAAGGCCTTTTACAGCTTTGACTACAGATGTTCAGATTCTGTTTATTAAACCTTTTACAAGACAAGACAAAACACAAGTAAGTGCCACAAAAACCAATGCTTTCATCATTCAAATCTTCCACAGCATAATGCAAATGCACTTTTAGAACAGCACAAATGAGACTGACACACAGAGATACAGGTGTATTTTTTCAAGAAACACAGGGCTTTTGTTGTTCGTCTTTTTAAAGAAACCTTTGTGACACAACAAATTATTTCTTGGCAGACTGTCAACATGATTTCTTTTTTCTTCTTTTTTCTCACTGATTTCATGACATACAGACCTCATAAAAATCATGTACTTGGCACTTTAGAATCAGGAATCAGTGGCCAGAAGTTTATAATAAATTTTGTCCTCCGTAAATTCCTCCACAAAAAGTCAGTATAGTGGCATAGAAAACAACAACAAAAAAAGCTCAAAATATCATATTGATTGTGTGTTGTGCACGCAAGTGTGTGAAAGAACAAAAACAGACAAGAGAATAACATTCAGAAACTGCACCTACACTTCTCTGCTTCTGTCATTCAAATTGCACAAGACTTTCGAAATGATTTAGACAGAAAACTTCTAATGCATATCAAATGGGGAGAACCCCACCCAAACTAACACCACCCTCCACACGGTTGAAACCTTTTGCATCATTTAAACTAAAAATGGCCTTAAAGCAGGTCACATTCCAGTGTCAGATGTAAACGATACCATCATATGCTTGTATTTGAAAAAAACAGCATTGGAAACAAGTGGAATTTACCTTGCAAAACTTCAGTACTAGAAATACTTTGTACAAGACGATCCTCTCAATCCATTCTGAGTTAAAACATATCAAGTTTTAATTTTGAGGATCTTTCTTTTCATTGTCTTTAATTGGTTGAAAAGTTCAGCACGTGCAAAGTCACATGAGTGAGATTATCATGTGACCCGTTTTCATAACCTTTACTATAATAAATAAAGTTTCCTTCTGCCTAGAAGACAGAAGTCAAGGAATCAAAAGTAATTAGCAGCTTTCTCTGGCAATTTTTAACTCTTGATATGCATTATCTCTGAAGAAGGTTCACTGAGGAATCCAGGCACTCTGCCAGCCTTTGAGCTAATTTTCAAGCATCTTTCATCTGAACTCTATGCTTAGGTTGCAAAGGACTGATCAGATACTGTCCCATGTTACTGATGCATTAAAACAAGCAAGGCTGAAAATCTCATTGAAGGCCATACAGTATTTACGGTCATATAAAAAGAGAATGTACGGAACACAGTGTTCAAATTAATAAATAAAGTTAAAATTACAGGAAGCAAAGTGTTGCCACTAGCCCTTTCTAGAAGGAATATTGAAATAAAAGTCCATTTAACTTTCAGTCCATGAGGAAGTAGACAGGAGTTTCATCAGAAAGCTGTGCTTTTCAAAATCACTGGATTTTCTTCTTCATCACTTGAAACTCTTGTACTATTACACGCTGGCCTGTACTTTAGTCTGTGAAAACAGAAGAGGGGAAAAAGAAGAAAGCTAGTAGTATATGTATGGGAAAATATATCTTTGGTATCTTGAAAGCTACTTGACATTATAAGTATCCTAATTCTGATATCCTGTTGGCTTCGGCTGGACAATTTCCATTCTTATGCCAGGTATTTGCTTAAGTACCTTCCTAAATCAGTCACAGCAAAAGGACAAATACTCTCACAGCCCTTTTAGTTCAATAAAACTAAATCGAAGAGTTCAGCCTTTCACCAGTACTTACATGTCTTTAAGAATACACAAAGATAAACTATTTTTTAACAGCATCCAATATTGCAAAATCATCCAAAACATATAGAATAAAATTAAAATAAAAACCATTTAACTGACAAGCCATTTTTAACCAGCCATTTTAATGAAAATATTTTGATTAAAGCTCAAAGTATCACTACACTTTTAAAAGCATATGGCTATATGTTCTTTATAAATGCTTTCCTTTCATGTACCTTTATTCAGTCAGAGTAAAGCAGTAACTCTGGAGTCTCAATATGTACCCATGAACTTGGACAGAGTGACCAAGATCCCAACCAGGCTCTTACCTCTTCAGCAGAAAGATTAACTAAATTACTGAAGCCAAACCCTTTCCCTGAGTGTACCCATAAGCACACCCCAAAACATACATGTATATCATTTTACAGATAGAACAGGTTTGCTAAAGAAGAAGATTAGAAAGCAACACTTACCCTTTCACTGTGAGCATCTGCTCGGTTGTGTCTGGGAGAGGCATACCATAGCTTTCTGGCAGAAATAAAGTGAGAATTCCTGATAGTACAGTCAGGCTCCCCATGAGGATGTAAGGCAGGAATCTATCATAGGCACCTAGGAGAACATAAGAAAAATGAACACCAACTTTGAGTTATCAGTAACATTTGTATCTATGAACTTGAGTACATGGCTTTCTCTCTGCAAAGTTTCAGATTGTGGTAAAAATAAGAAAAACTTGTGGGAACTTAAGAGACTAGGAAACAACAGCAATGAGAGCAATTTCAGTTGACCTATTGAATCAGTAAGGTTGTGAGTCTTCAAAGTACCTCTTCGACAAGATTGAAACAATTTCAGTGTTATGACTATCCTGTTGCAAGGGATAACTTCTCTATGTTCAAAAATTCTATCTAGCCTGAACAACCCTTGTGATCTGGGGCTGAGCAAGAAAGAGCAGCAGCAGTCATCATTTGGTTACAGCTTGTTAGCATGTTACAGCTAGCACAAGGCACACACAAGATGTTGTCTGACCCTTCCTGTGTGCAATATAAAAACAAAGAAACACAAAGAATTACAACCCAAAGGGCAAGACTGGTACGACTGGAGAATGAAATGAGTGTCTGGGTGTGCACATCTATTTGCAGTTTCACAGGATGTCCCTGGATCAGAAGACAAAGAGCAGCAAATCCCAATGACTCAAGGAGGTGGAACACTGACTGCTCTCAGCTCCAAAAGGCAAGAAGCCTACCCAGAACCTGCACATGGTGCCAGCCTAAGAGCAACGCAGGAGCCATGGGGAGGACTGGCAGTTGGTGCCCTTCAACCTCCACGTCATCGCAGTAGATCCTGGCCCTGACCTCTGGACACAAGCAACACAGCGCTAGACTGCTCAACAGACACCTCTGATGGACTCTGGTGCTTGTGAGGATGACTGTGAGTGCTGGGCAGTGAAAACTATTTTACTTCAGTTTACTTACAACAAAATTACCTCCTCTCCTAAAAGCTCTTGCACTAATGTTTTCTACGTTGTGGCTACAGTGATGCAACAGCATTTCCTACACAGAAGGATGGTTTAGATGCAGTTATGTCAGCAGGTTTAAGTTTTGTAGGCAGTACTGAACCGACGCTTTCCAAATACCAGGCTCTGCCCAGAGTGTAGTAGTAGCCCCCAACTCACCAAGGTAAGCGAAGTAAGGCGAGAGGATGCTGCCTAGCCTGGAGGCCATGGAACTTGCTCCAACTCCCATGTTTCTCACTACCGTTGGGTAGAGTTCAGCCGTGTAAACGTAAACCATTGAAAAGGCAGATGTGATCCCAAATTTTCCTAGCATCACCAGGAGAATAGATAGGGCACGAATATCTGAAATAAAAATGCGGAAAGATCTTCAGTAAAGCTGTGGCAAATCACCATATCTTAATTTCACTTTGTTTGTAGAACTCCTGTCTAACTAATTACAGCATCTGGTGTCTTTTTTTTTTTTTTTCTTCCTGTACACATCTACGAGCATGAGCAACTTTTTACTGCTGGGACTCTACATACTTGCTAGTTCCCTTTTGTTTATTATTTGATTTGCAAACATGTTATGCACAAATCTCCCCACTGAACAAGTATCAACATTTGCTCACTTCAAGCCCTTTTCCTCATCATAAATGCTTCCACAATGGCTTTCCCAGAATACAACCTTTTCATAAGCCCTAAAGAAAAATGCATCATCACTGGCAGCTGTTTGGAAAATAAGTTCCATTTAGTCTAGCCCTAGTTTTGGTCTAGGACCTTGCCAGAGCACCTGAGATGTACACTAAGGTAAAACTGGATTGCAGTTCTGATCCCAAAAGATCACAAAGCAAACGTCCCACCTATAGAAAAATACATCTGAATTGACATGCTGTGTTATACCTGTTGCTCAGAGACATGGAAGAGGGGCAAAGATAGGAAAAAAATATCTACATTTAGTCCCCTCGAGATACTTTTCACCCACATTTGCCCAATGCATGGTACTGGACTTCACCTAGAAACATGTTTGATATCAACTAACGATTCCATACGTGCAGGCACCAGCTGAATGAAGAGAAGAACACAGCCTCCCAAGAACAACGCGGCAGCCATCGAATATCGTCGGGGGAAATTGCGAAGCAGCAGCCAGGAAATTATATAGGCTGGAACTTCAGTCACTGCTGAGAGGAAGCAGTTTACATAGATGTCTCCATGCAAGTTAGGTGTGTCAAGTGAAAGACCAAAATAGCCAACTGAGATTATCATCCTGAAAGAAGCAGAAGAACAGTATCAGACAGATTTGCTCTTCTTCCTGAGGTTCATAAAAACACATGTTACCAGGAACCTCTTTACATCTCTGTTAAGCTGAGAAATTACAATTACACTATGTAAAGCAAGCTCAATATTTATGCTATTCTTTCAGCTTTGAAGCAAATGTCTAAAGTGCCGACTTCAGAAACAGCAAGGAAACAGTTACACGGTGCTGCTGCATTGTATTTGTTGAGCTTGTCTGGAATCCAAAGTTTTTTTTAAAAAAAGGACCCTACTCAGCATTAACATGGTCAGGCAAGCCTGGAGCTGTTGCTAGCCCTGCTGAGGCACAGGCCTATGAGCTCATCCATGTGGGATGCTCCTGCAGCTGCAGGGATCATCACTGCTCCTGCCTTTGCACTATCCTTTCCACTGGCATTCAGCCCTTGCAAAAAACCTCTCCGTTTGTCACCTTTAGATGTTGTCCCCACTACTCAAGCTGACTGCTTCTCATATATGCCCTCCACGCTACAGATTCTCCTGAGAGAAGTGTCTCATCCATAATGTAGGGATGCAGAAGTTTATAGCCTTAGCCTAAAAGTCTGGAGTACTGCACTTAGCCTGCTTCTAAAGCCAAGGCTTTTCATTATGTTTAGAAAGAGTAATAATGAACTCTGGGCAGACAGAAACACTTTTGTGTCACTACCCTCCCTGCTCTGAGTACAGAGAGGAGTATGGTGTCCCAGCAGAGCCACGTTGGCTGCGGAGCATCCTGGTGACATTAGTGTGGCTCCGTGCCTCGGTCAGGACGCAGTGGCTGGGAACGTCACCGCCTCAACCGCGCTGCTGCCGGAGAGGAGCCACTTGGTCACAGCAAGTGACCACAGCTCCCATTTGGTCACAGCAAACACACAGCTGGGAGAGATGCTGGGAGAAGGCTCCACTTCACCACCAAGTAACAAACCGTAAGCAAGGAAATAAATGGACCAGTAGGATTAAAACAAATCAGCGTGAAGCATTTGTCACTTCCACTCCTTCAGCATTTATATTATAAGGGAACCTAGAGATGTGAAGCAAAACACTGTATAGCACCAAGTAGATCACTGTCCCTGGCAGAAAGACTGAGTCTTTCTCTTTCTGACTTCACATGGAAAGAGCATTTATGGTCCAATTGCTTAAAATAAAATTGTCAAGTATATCTGCGAGGGCATGAAGTCACATGACTATGGGTAAACCCACATTTCGGTGTATGATCTGCCAGCTGAAGTCATTCATTTCAAAAGCAATTACTGCGCAGTGTTGTTGATGCTGCACAAACACCCACCTCTATGCTCATGCATGCAATAAACTAGCTGAGCGTTCTGCAGCTCCCTTTCAATAACAGTTTGTCATAGCTTATCATATTGTCAAACCTTCATACAGGATTTTTTTTTCTAGGAGAGCTGAGGTATTTACACATTTCAAGGTTATGAGAAGCCCAATTTTCTCCTCCCTGATACAAAACTAGCAGAGAGATTAAAGGCCTGCTACTTACTTAAAATTAACAAGACTATTTCAAATGGCAACATGTGATGGTGCCATACTGCCATCTGTACCAACTCTGTTCTATAGAACTTCTTGTAGGAGACCCTCCAAATTCTAGCTCAGAATGCACCTTCTGTGAGTCAAAAAACATTGCCATGGATCAGCATAAGATACTACATATTTTGGGAAATGATTTAAAAGGAGGTTAAACAACTGACATGCAAGGTAAAAATAGCAGAAAACTAGTCCACCCTCTCTGAATACTCTTCTGCAACATTTGCAAGAGCAGATAAGATTATGCAAGTCAGTCGCACATTTGGCTCTTTCTTCCTAGCACAAACTTCTTCTATTAGGCAGTAAATAGTTACTCAGCATAAGGAATGCATTACACACTGCCATGTCACTGTGTTTTTTGAAGTGATTTGTCCCATCAGAAATGCTGTTCAAACAGGTTTCACAACTGGTGCATATATATACACCCATGTGTGCAAAACTGGCTGTGCCAATGAACTTTCTACTTCTTATAACCATGTTGGTTTTAAGAAATGCAGCAGTCTCAATTCCCTAGTCACTTCCAATTAAGGATGTGAGTCAGCATTTGGAGTTAGAGGAAGGGAACACAACAGTATATGGAAACTGCACTGACACCTCCTCAAAAAAATATATCTTTTTTTTTTTCCTGAGCTACACTCCTTTCAAGATCCCTTCTCAGTGTGTCAGGAGCACTGTGCTCTGCAATGGGCAAGAGAAGCTGGTTTAAATATCAGGGGAACGGACTAGTTAGTATGGAAGTCTAGGAAAACCTCAGACTGGAACTTGAAAAGCAGTTTTATCTCTTTAAGAGGCAATATGGAAGAGAGAGGGAAAAAAATTCTCCCCAAGTTAGCCAGTACTGGGTTCAGACCCCTGAAGAGTAGTCCTCCATATGGGGACAAATCATTCCTCTTAGAGACTTCCTTCATGCACATGAGAATTCTCTGAGTCTGAATTTGGGGCAGATTCCTATACTTCAAAGTCATTTGACTTGATTCTTGCTTGGTTCAAGTTAGGCCAGACTGTTTCCGAAAGAAAAAACAGATGTGTTTCTAGAAAATGTTGCTGAAATAAAGAGCATAAGTAATGAAATGCATTCAGCTTCAGCCAGTAGCTCACTGTTTCATGAACTAGTTTTTGCCCATACCTCTTTGGAATACCTTAGAAGTTCCGGCAAAAGTGCTCAAAGGGCAGTTTCTTACTGTTCTGCTGCCTGTGTGCTTACCTATTACTCCTAAATCATCTCTTTTCCTTACCAGAGAATCACTGACATAATTGTGACAGTTCGGATATTTTGGGTTTTCACTAGATCCAAAATGGTGTAAGCTTGTTGCTTCTGGGAATTCAAGTCTTGCATCTGGAAAGAAATACAAACAAACAAAAACAAACAAAACCACTAACTTCCTGCAAACAGAAAGACTGTGAAAACAACCTCCCCCGAGGCCCCCAAAAAACAATTTATCCATCACTATTTTGAAAGTATATAGTCCCTTTCGATATGCTGCAGTGCAGGAACATGCATCTCAGTTTTAACCAAGTTAATCAAGGTAGTATTAGCCATAAGATGCACCTATCTGTTAAAGCAATTCTTTCCTGATTTAAAGTCACTTAAAATCTGAGCTGAAATATGTATTAATTTTCTCCACCTGAGGCTCCATAAAGCAACTGCTTATTGTTACTTTTATATTTGAATAATAAGCAACAGTATTAATTTACAATTTAAATGTCACAACTGGCAGGTTCCTTAAGCCCAGTTTAGAGCACTGCACCTTGAGGATCATGCAGTTCAACAGCAGCCAGTCAAGAAGAGAGCAACAAGGATGATGAAACATTTGAAAAACATGATCTGTAAAAGAGTGAAAGAATGGGCTTTATTTAGCCTAAGGGCCAGAAGACTGAGGGAGACTTAGAAGTCAAAGACCAGCAAAGGGAAGAGAGCAATAAACTGTCCTCTATGTCCACTGCAGATAGGGCAGAGATTAAACGAGATTAAAGTGCAGCAGGAGAGATTTATTGAATGACTCTTCATGTTGGAACTAATAATGATGTATTTAAACTCTGGGACAAATTGCTTGATGAGCTGAAGACTCCCCATCATTATCTACACTGTTTATAAAAATCTCCTTCTATGAATCTAAGCAAAAAGGCACTCTCTTCCTCCTGAAACCTCCCAGCCTGTCAAAATAAAACAACTTCTATGAAAATAATGCAAACATACTCATGCATGAAGCATGCTAAAAAATTTTGTGCTTGGTAAGATTATACAATAGCAAATTTTCTTGTTTTTTTTTTTTTTTTTTAATAAGAATGTTGACTTGAAAAAAAAATTAGATTCCTAAGCAAAAAGTACAAGGGAGGGATTTTTTAAAACAGGCCAAAGGTAACATTTGTGAGAACACAAGTTCCATTGAATAAAACTCTGAACTCTGACAAAGCAAAACTATATGTCTGAAAGAAAACCACTTCCTAGACATGCCATAATTTGCTAGCACAAAAAATGGAGGTTTCAGGATATAGCACTGGCTTCTCGCTTATCAAGTTCATGCCGATTTTTATAGCCTCACAGTAAGAATGTTAACAAGCTCTTGGTTTTACAATTTTCCATACAGATACAGAATATCCTAACAGAAAAGAACCTATGTGAATCCGGGAGTCTATTAACAGTTAGAAATTTAACAAAGAAAGAAACATCCACCTTAGCAGCTCAAGATTATCAAATGAAAAGAGTAATAATACTGAAATATTTTTAATTTCAACACTTACCACATTATTAGCTGTCTTGGCAACTCACAATATTTAAGCAAAGACTTCTTTTTCCACGACTAGAAGAATCACGCTTGCCTGACAAAATCTACTTTTTGTGCAAACACACACCAAAAAGGATGTGCACAAAGCTTTATTACTCCCATGGTTTTCCAATTCTGCATGAGTGGTGAATGTCATATATTAATTGGGTGTTTAAGGACAGAATGCCTTTTGCTGACACTATGTACTCCTTCATGTAAATTATTTTCAGATAAAAGTACATTATGACTGTATTTTCAAAGCAGTGCAATCACCAAATACTATAAACCTTTCAGAAGCCTTGCTGTCTGATCTAAATAGAACATACTGCACTCTGTTCTAGTTTAATTTACAATATTTTTTTTCTTAAAATGTGAGGCAAGGCTAGTGGAAAAAGTTAGATGTTTGCTAAGACACAACATATACATCAAGAGATAAAAGCAAGCATTAGTTTAACTTAATTCTCAAGAATCTCTTCATACTTAGTTATGTGCCTGTTTCTTCTGGCAAGCTAGTTCCTGGAGACTGACTTGTGACCCTTAACTCTTGTTCCTCAACTTAAAAATATATATTTTACCTCCTCAATATCTTAGCAATTCTATCCAAGATAATGTGAACACATGTGTCAGTACAGTTGATGCAATGCCCATAGTGAGGTGAAAATAATTTCTGATGCATATTGTGAAAATTAGGAGGATAAAATAGTGATCTATGGTGATGTTCATGCACCTCAAGCTTCAGTGTATTTGGTTTCATGAGCCTTGGCTTTCTGCTGAGGACAACAGCTCTCCCTGTTGTAGAGCTGCCAGCCTGCGCGAAGCTGCCGTCAGCTCTACAGCTCCCAGCCCTTTCTCATAAATCACATGACCGTTCCTAAGGACTCTCCAGTTTTACCACTACCTGCTGCCAAGAAACCAACAAATGGGAAACAAAAAAAGAGAAAAACCAAACCACAAAATAAACGCAGGACGACAGTAGAATTTAAACAGTCACAGTTTATGAGAGAGAAGTGCCCTGCCTCTCAGCAGCTGGATAACCAGGCAGTATAATCATTAATAGGACAGGCCTGAGCAGGAAGTAATGGAAACGCTTGGAAGGGCAAAACATGATACTTATCATCCCCAAATGTAATCCCCTTCACATAGAGTAATTCACCACCTATTTACACTGTGCAGCATGTCTGCAGCCAGTCACTTGCTGGATCCTAAATGTTTTTAATCTCTGGGGTCTAGATATTCCAACTGCTGCTTTCCAGCCACATGGGATCTAGGAATGCTCTTCAGATGGAGGCTGTTTACTGCTCCATGCAGAATGCACATTCCAGCTGCATGAAACCTAGAGCCCAGCTGGAGCTTCTGAGAACCTCTCCGCAGTGTAAACACATTTTCTAGAAAGTCAAGAAAAGCTGTGTGCCTCCTGCTTTCCAGTGCAAGTCTTCAGAAAGCAAACAGAACAGGGTAAACAGACCACTGCTGCAGACTTTGCAGAGATTAGTTTGCCATAGTATTATCTTACTTAAAAAAGAAAGAAGAAAATAACCGTCAGGAGTTTAAGAATTTAAATAAATGCCTTTAATCCAGCGCATTTTCCTCCAAGTGTCAGGATGTTTATCTGTGTTTACGGAAGAAGACAGAGCTAAACTTCTGTTCTCCTACTACAGTGCTGGGAATGGGTGAATTTTCACGTCCACAGCATGAGGAGGAAGAGAGAAAGCATGTTCCAATTAAAATCCAGAGGAATGTCCATTATCAGAAGCTCTGGGTTTTCCCACCATTCTCAGCCTGTTCCAGCCAGAACAGGATTTCTGTCCTCCATTCCACAAGCAAGTCTGCACAAACAGGATTGCTTGCACCTCAGCTGACTTCAGCTCAGGGTGAAGCTCTTTTCAGTCTCAATAGCAACACATTACAGTTTAATGGCTAACTGTTCTCCTCCATTTTCCTCATGATAGTAGAGAGAGGCCTTGTAAACAAAGTGAATGCACAGGCCACAGTGACATTAGCAGCAGATCAGTCTTCATATTAACAACTGGAAAATGTCAGCTATCAACCCAAATCAACCACAACTGGGTAACTGCGCCCAGACCAATTCTACAGATCTGCCTACAGAAGTTCCCATTCTTCTGGATTATGCAGACTATTTGTCTGCCAGACTTTGTGAGGTCCCATCTGAATGGGCTTGGAGCTGCTTCTACGCTCCAAGGCCAGCAAATGCTCAGACAGTGGGGAAATGCCTAGGGGAAACAGTGGCATGTTGGAAGAAACTGATGGGGAAGAAAAGCTACCGCTAGCTGCATCATGTAAAGGGATTTGAGTTTTGACCTCTTTTTAATGCAGAGTAGAAATTGCACTAGAACACCATTATTTTCAGTGCCAGTGGTCACAATTAGTTCTGTGTTAGAATGAGCAAGCATAAAATCTGTTCAAAGCACAAATATTCCCTTCTGCATCTAATCACTGGGACACAGATTGTTCTGTTCAACAAGATCAGAGGCTGGAAGAAAACAAAGCGTAAGGGAGGCCAAGATCTTTTGCCTTCTCTGCTGGGTCCAAGGCACACGCTTTCTCAGAGCAACATGGCCAGGTCCCACGGCTGACAGGGATATTTGGCAGCTGTCTGGGCTTAGACTTACTGTACTCAGAGTCACTGGGATAAAAGACACTCTCTGCTAGTTTGCCACTGGCTTCATATAGCTATCTTTAGATCATAAAATGATAGCTAAATTATCAAAGAAATTCACTACCTTCCCTGCAGTTCAAAAGGAAAAGAGAGCTATAAACTGGATGGAAAAGATGTTTGCATTAGAACACTGAGTGGGATTGAAACAGCAAAGGCTTTACAAGTCTTAAAGAAGTGAGGGAATGGTATTCTGCTTCAAGGCTTTTCAGAAGCAGCATGGTGTTTTACCCATGTGAGAAGAGCATAACATACTGCAACCCTAACAATTCATATGTCTGGAAATTAATCACTTCGCATAATTATACATAGGTCCAGCAAACAACTCTGCTGCTAAATGAATCTCACCTCAATAGGGTCAAGTATTACATCTGGGGCTGTAATGCCATTCATTTTTGCAGCCTTTCGGATGATGGCTTCTGCCTCTTGAAATCTTCCCTGAGAAATCAGCCATCGGGGAGATTCTGGAATGACCCTGCAAAGAGGTTCAGAATAAAGTGCCTGCATTTCCAGAGACAACACTGCTGCACACACTAACACACACTGCCCTGAGCATGAAGGGCTGAAAATCTGCCATACCTTGCAGATATTATAGCAGTAGTAACTGAAATCATAGTGTTATAAAAGCAGGTTAGTATACTGAAAAAGAACAGACTGAAATGTATTCATGGATTTAAGAAATACTAAGGAACTGAGCTATGATTCAGAGAAGAAAAAAAAAAGTAATCAAAACTCCAAAACTTTCAAAGAATGGAGAAAAAGGATTAAAGGTATTCAGAAATACAAAAATATAAGCAGCGTTCTGTATATGAAGAGGCAAATGCTTAGAGTAACACACACAAAACTAGTAAGCATAAATACTTTCATGAAGTCAAGTTAGAAAGGGGAAATCACGTGAGTCATTCAACTTCCTAAGAGAAACTAGATGGAATACTTGCCAGCATAAGAGAAGAAATACCACCACCGTGTGGACTGTGTAAACTTCACATGCCACTTGGAAGTAAATTTCATTAACCATGGAATTAAAAATGGAAGTCTCACAGATACGCAAGTACTGGTTCCTCAGCTTGCTGTGCTCTGCATTTGTTGTATCTATGTCTCACTCTTCACTGCACGGCTTGCAAAAATAGCTGGTTTCTCATTCTGCCCTTAACTCACATCTCCTTTTAAAGTTCACGGAACTCGTGCAGGAGCAAGTGAATTCTTTTGAAACGATAAGCAAGCGCTCATCTTGCAAAAAGCGAAGGATGGATTTGAGAGGGAAGCAGCTCTAAGACATTTCAGCCTTCACTGATCAGCCCCAGGTAACCTGATGCACAGGGGAGGCAGCAGGTCAGAATGTGGTGCTCTGTTCCTAACAGTCTTTAACTCAACACGGCTTGTTCAGTGTCTTGTTTGACTGGCAGCTGCAATGGTGACAATAATCCTGAGAAGAGAGTCTTTTATCCATGAAGCAATATTTGTTATGGCTTTTTCTTTAGTTATACTTTTCTTTCTGGTTCTTATTCTATTTCATCGATTTTGACTTTTTTTCCTTAACGAGCTAGCATACTGCTGTATTTTCAGGCTGTAAAAGTTGCAGGGGTGAAGGGCATTTTACTTTACAAAATCATCTTGAGTTCCAATTTGACTATAATGTATGGGAAAACTTCCATTTTTTAGTTTGTTTTTATCATCACCAAACAATGCATACCATTTGATGCAAGTTTCCTGCTAACTATATCTACATGAGTGATCACCTATTTAATTTTTCCTCGCAGGAAAAAAAAAAAAGTCTTTAGATTACATATTTGGCAGAGAATTCAACTATTTTTGTTGGTTTGTTACATTCAGAAGCAGCAAAATTATGTTTAACAAAATACACAACCTGCCCCCCCCAAAAAAACTAACCCTAAAAAAGAATTCTCAATTATTTCTAGCAAGCATTTACAGTGAGACAAAGAAGTGGGAGATGGACAGGTAATATGAGAAGGACACACACCAGCCCATAGAAAAATAGAGAGCTGATCATCAGAATCCTAGAGCATTTCCAGACAGCGCTGGTGACCACTATTAAATTCTCTCCAAGCACGTGGGCAAGAAAATATAGTAATGCAGAGTTGAGATGGCCATGTGGTATCTGGCAACCTTCTGGAACACCTGCTTCAGCCAAAGTCCAACCTCTGAAAACCAGGAAATCCGCACAGTGTTGTGCAGTTATGCACTTCAGTGCTATCCTCGGAAGCTGGGAATTCAGTGCAACTGGAATGCAAGCAGTTAACGCTACAGAAGCAACCCTGGGCGGTGGAAGGGCTCTCTGGAGCAGCCACGGAGAGCTGCAGTGCTTCTCCTGGCAGCTTTTGAGCTAGAAAAGCGAGCCCCATGTGCGCCTTGGCACAGCACGCTTTGTTTTGGCTGTGTGGCCTGCAAGCCACCTTGGAGCAGAGGCTCAGGGTTACCTGGGCAGGGACCCTCCAGCAGCTGGGAGACAGCTAGGAGTGTGGGCTGTGGGTAAATGGAAATAGAGTGGCAAATAATGTCACATAGAAGAGCTTTTCCCAGGGAGGGGAATGTGGAGAGGAAGCGGCAGGCAGACCTGAATCCGTGTGAGATACTGTAAACAGGTCTCTGGCTACAAGACTTCTGTTCAGAGTAGTATAAAGGCAAAGTGAGCTTGTGAAATAGGAATATCAGAGCCTTACTCGAGTTCAGCAGAATTATTACATGAGTATAACTCCTTTGCTGCATTTCTGGGTTTTTGTATATTTAAGTGTAAAATATCATTACCACTTCCCTTCCGCACCCACTGCAAACAGCAAGTTTTCTTACTTAATTATTCCTCAGTACATACAATCTCTTAATTTTCTAGGGGCTGACAGAAAATGAAGAACAGCGTTTTCAGGCATGAGTTAGAGACCACTCGCACAGCTTTAGACGCAAGTCTAAAAGATCTTGGGAACTAGCAGGGATGCAATGCCCGTTCTTCCAGTTTTCCACTTATGGCTTTCACTGTTAAAGGCTGGTTGGCACAGAGTCTGGATCATAAAAATCTCTTGGCAAGACCTTCTAGAGGCCTTTAACTTGGTTGCACTCACCACCAGAGCGGAATGCAGAGCAGCCCAGGTAGAGTAAGAGCAAGAAGCAGCGTCCGCCAGTCTCGGAGGAAGTAAGCGGCCAGTGGCAGCAACATGTAGCCAAATGCATAAAATATGCAAACACCTAATGTGCAGAATATTATACGAATTGATTTGCCAAGAATTTCAGTGCCTGTTCAAAACAAGAGAGTCAAGATTAGTATTTTAACTTAATAGCAACCACGTAACTTACCAAAAATAACTTTAAAAATTGTCTTTGAAATATATTACATGGGGTAGTTATAGCAGAATGCACTCTCTGCCCTCTACTTTCAGAGGCACCACAGATCTACTTCGTGCAATGGTCCAGCATCGACCTAAGTAACTCTTGGTTGCAAAAGGAATTTATTGCCAACTTTTGTTGCTTTAGACATTTACTGTAATTATTAATTGAAAAGGATTTTCTTTGAAATCTCAGATTCTCAAGGGATTATACACTCCCTTCTATTGAAGCCTCTTAGGTAAACTGAAAGTACATAAAACAAGAATTATTTTGCCATTTAATTTTTACTACAGCCTGTTTTAAGGAGACTTTACAATGCTTACTTTTTTCTCTTATAATTTTGTAGATTAAATATGCATTCAGACCCCAAATGGAAAATACAACCTCCTTGAAATCAGGCCTTGCACATCTCTCCAACTAAAGATGGATTTTTTTTTTCAAATATTTTTTGTTTTTTAGCTTTTGGAACAGTAAGCCATAAAAGCAATTCAGGGTGCATTTCTATCAACTGGAAATTTCCAAATAAAGCGTGAATTATTCGTGCTTGCTGAGGACATACTCTTAGCAGTGCTGCTTGGCAAAACAAATCAACCCTGGCCAGTACTGAAATGGAGCAAGGAAGAAAAGATGAGCAGAGAAGATGTGCTCTGCCCACCAGGAGCTCATACCCAGAACAAATGCTGCCACGTAGTTCGAGATCTGTCCCATGCCAACCAGCACAAAGAGCACTGAAAACATCTCCCAGCTGGTAGAGAAGACCTGCACGAAGCTGAAGCTCGTCTGCATTCCCAGAGTTATGAACAGAACCTTCTTCCTGCCAAACCTTCCACAAACAGATTTAAAAACAAAAGAAAAAAATATGTGTAACATCACAAAAGCAATTTTGAGAACTGAAAAGACAAGATTGCTCATATGTATATTTAGGTAGATTAAAAACATCTGCAGAAAGCAGAGGTTAAGGAAATGTGAGACATGCACAATTGCTCTAAATACATTAAGAATTTCCCTGGCCAAGAGGAAATAACATTTCAAAGCTACAATTCAAGTGCAACTTAAACTTTAGGGACTGATGGAACACTATCCCTTCTTTACTGATAAGATGAAGATGGGAAAGTTAATTAATTAATTACAACCTAACAGCTGTATGGTGCTCTTTCTCTTCTAAGCTGTAGTCTATCCACTGTAGAGATCAATGAATAAAATAAAATAAAATAAAATAAAATAAAATAAAATAAAATAAAATAAAATAAAATGGAGAGAGAGAAAAGACAAGGCTTTCTAAAGAGGTAAAACAGAATTACAAGAGGACAGATCAATGAGTGATCCCATGCTGCAATCTCAGTCCTACTTGGTAAAAATGAACTAAATTTAAGGGATTTTAGCAGTTTCCTTGAGGGATTGAGGTATTAAGTGAAAAAAAAATGCAAAACTCAACCCAACCCATGCTGGCTTCAGCTCTGACAGTCAATCCCTACACTCTGGGTATCTGCATAACTATGTAGGCTCCTTGGCCTGCAAGAGAAAGGCTAGCGAATTCCCACAAATCCGTTTTCAACACTTGACTATGAAATCCAGAACTGTGCGCTATAATAGACAGATTAGAATGAATTAGGAACACACCAACAGCACAATACTTTGTCAACCACTGCTTACTTCTAAGGCGCTGCTTCCCTCAAAGCTACCAGCAGCCACAGAAGTTGGGGCTACACAGAGGCTGAGGCAGCAGGAGATGAGCTCCTTGACTGCAGAAACATAGCAAAAATTCCCACAAGTAAAGTGTTGTTCCTCGGGATTATGACTGGATAGCACTCATGCTTTCCAGCTCCTATAAACATTGGACTTAGACCCTGCATTTGACAATGAGGAAAAGAAGCTATGAGGATTTAGGAAGGGAGAATTATAAACTTGACTTCAAAAGAGAAAACAAGCCCCAGGGTGTCTCTGAACATAGTCCAAAGTAATTAAAAAGGAATGTCATGGGGCTGATTTTTCAGAAGGAACTTTGTATCTCACACCTGTTTTCTGGCATAACAAAAACAACAAAAAAAAGTTTGCTGCAGGGCTGATTTCTCTGGAAAGAACAAAATGAACAACAACAACAAAAAAAAAACAGATAATATCCACTAACAATCTTCATAATGTTCTGTTCTGATTTAGGACATTTGCTCTGCAAGACCTGTATACATTTAGATTAGACATTCGCAGAATAAAAACATCAGCACCCTCCTTGCTAGGAGCTGCAGAAAGCCACTTACAGCAAGGTCGAGATACCAGAACTGCTTACAAAACAGTTTCAAGCAAAGAGCCAGCAGCTTTGGTGTATATACTTTACTTGTCTGAGAGCTGTCCTGATACGAAGGATCCAAACAGGACACCCACGAAGAACAGGGAGGTACTGAAGGGTCCCTTCCAGTCGTCATCACACACAAGATTCCACTGCAAGGAGAGAGAAACTTTAGAGAGAGAAGATAAAAAATTGCCAATAAACAGGATTCCTCCCACCCACAGCGCCTTGGCTGAGCCCTGATAATGGAAGTATGCTAAGGTTCTTTGGGAAAAATCTCAATTCTGGTCTTTGGAATACAGATTTAAACATACACCAAGCAAACCAAGATTTCCAGAACAAAATTAATCTCAGGAAAAAAAAAAAAAGGATTATTTATTACACACAGATTGCAATAACTCGCAATCTCTCACTTGCTTCTGAGCAGCTTGATATTTCTGAAGTAACATGCATGTTATTTGAAATCTGTATCAACAGCTATTATTGAAAGAGTCATAATTTTATTTCTGTTATCTGGAAAAAGAATGTTTAAATATTAAAAGAAAGCAAGAAAGCAGGAGGGACACTTTGTCCCTTACCTCCCTGTGGTGCTATGGCTGGAGAAGCTTCCCGAGCTCTCCCTGCCCCAGCAAACTAGTTGGCCTGCTCGAGGGGACGGCAGGAGGGGACGCAGCCCCACGGAGGCCAAACAAACTGGGAATTTAGCAACCAAATTCCACTTGTGATGCCAGGCCAAATCCTCCTGGCCTTATTTTTATTTATTCAAACAGCTCCCACAGGGCCCCTTCTGATGGTTTAGGGATGGAAACTTTTAGAGATTTGCATTAAAATGGTTGGAACAAAATTGAAATATTTATGTTGGCCACTATGTTTAATCCCCTTCATCCCCCAAATTAAACAATTAGTGTTTTTTCGTCATTACTTTTTAAAATCTGCCCTAGAACAAATATCAGGGCTTTGACCAGCTCTGCAAGAAAGCCAGGCTGCTGCAAGCCTGAAATCAGCCATCTACCCTGTTGCTGCTCTGTCAGCGGCTAATGCTGGCCCTTCCTTTGGCTTGCTGGACACTTTTTGAAACCCAACAGGAATTGTGCTTTTCCTTCTCCCCTCTTCTGTTTTTTTGTCATTTCCTCACCATTTACCCTTCATGGGCATCTCCCGGGCCTCGTGCTCCACCTCTGCCAGCAGGGCAGTTCTATGACAGACCTTCATCGAGCCTGAGGCAGCCGGGACACTTCAGCAAAGTCCACCTTGGAAGTACGCAGCAAATATTACCATCAAATTTAAACAGCCAAAGGTTTCAGTCATTACCAAATGACCGAACTGGATGACATTTATTGGAATAACTGATTTAGTCCCAGTAGAAATCTTGCATTAATAAAGACTCGCCTATTCTCAAAAGTCTGCTCTTTGCAGCAGCTACCAGAACTAGGCATCGTTGTCAGTATTGGAATTAAAATGCAACTAGCCAAAGATTTAGCCAAGTCACAACCTCTCAGTTGTTGCCTCTGCTGTTGTGAATCAGCCACATCCGTTCATCGATCGGCCACTTTGTACTTTGACACGTGGGTTGCACAACACCTGGCTTTCCAAATACTGTGTGTTTATTCTCAGCAATAAACACCGTCTCGTGACCCCTGTGTCAGAGACGTTGCTTGGAAGAGCTCACAGGACTAGAACACACTGCATTGCCCTGTTGTTGTGTTCGCAGGGGGAGAGACACCAGCCTCTAAGTGCCATTCTGATCACAACTCCGTTGCTTCTGTCCACCCCAGTAACACAATCTTAGGAGCTGGTATGCTGAAAAGTAATTCGACCAGGCACAAAAGCAACAACTTCCATGATCTCGGTTATGAAATGGTAGTTATTTAACAACATAAGGAAAGCCTAAGCTCATAACACTCAACACACATACAGCAATAGGAACAAAAGGACTTTAAGGTCTATTCCTGCAGCAGACCAATGCCGAAGTCTTCAGCTTTTTCATGACCATCAGTGACAGGGCACCAGTCTTGTAACTCCCCCACAGCACCCACCCCAGGCCCGTAAGCTGCCCAGGAAAGCGGCACTGCAGCACCATGCTGAAGCCCAGCACTGCTGCAAGGAGCAGGTATCCCCGGATGCCGCAGCGAGCAGGTCCTCCTGGTGCTGCTTGGTCCGGCCAGGACACAGCACCTCGATCCAGTGCCCAGCCCCAGCTGCACGAGTCATTTCTCAGTGCCCAGCCCCATGTGCACAGTCATTTCTTAGTGCCCCAAGGTGGTTATTTAGGTCCTTGGCTGCTGGCTTCACAGCCTTTGCCCCAGTGAGGGGCATAAGCTGAACCTCAGCGCGTTATCGCGGCCCCACGGGACACGAAAAGCACAATTCCGCTTTGTTTCCAACAGCAGCTCCCATCAAGTTTCCAAACACCGGCACCCAGGGCTGAACACAGCACAGGGCGTTCTCCCGGAGTCTTGTTTGGATTTTGCCGGAGGACGTTCCCTGCGGAAGTTCAGCCGTGGTTCCTTACTCAGCTTCCAGCTCCTCCGAGATTGCTCGGGATGGCTCCGGAGTTGGGGACGGGAAAGGGAGGACGGGCAGGGGACAGAGGACACGGAACGAGGGCTGCTGCGATGCGATACACTCATCACCCATGCACGTTCCAAGTTCTGCCTCTTGTATTGCAAGTTAACTACCTGAAACTAAAATAAATCCAAAATCCCTTGCTATGTTCCAAGAAAATTTATAAAATAGAGGGAAAACACCCACCAAAATCCTACTAAACTGCTCCCACAGTTCCCTCCTCCCTGCCTTTTTATTAGCTTCCAATTTTTAATCACACACACAAAACAGACGTACCAAGAAGTATTATTGTACATTTAGCCAGAATGACACTGAGCTGCCTAAGTAAAAGTCTAACTGTCAATCTAGCTAGACTGGTATTTCCTGCATTCTCTTGCCATGTGCCTTTCCAACACTAAACTGACTGTTCATGTAGCACCTTTATCCCAGAAGAAATCTGACCTGCAGATCTGAAATCTGCAAATCTCAATCAAACAGAACAGCGAGGTTCACGTGCCTCCGAGATGAACGACTTCAATTCTCTGCACTGTAGCACACTGTGCAATAATGTTCGAAGAGTAAAGATATTAAACTAAAATTACAAGAGAAGTTTAGGTGGACACAGTGCCCTATATCCAGCTGAAAAAACGGCCGGGCTACAAGTAAAAAGTTTAGTTCTAAGGTCTCTAGGAACTGCCGAAGCCCCGGAACCTCTCAGCCGCTCTATTCTGTGTGTATAAGCGCTGCATCCATTGCACTCTCAGAATATCAATTGCCTCCAAATTTATGAATTACCCTCACTACCCTCTGCAACGGTTTCAACCCAGGCCCCGAGCAGATCCCTCACCCTGCTTCACCTTTACTGCAGTTTGGTCAACTCTCATGAGATGGCGTAACCCTAGCTAGCAAAATCTACCTGCTAACAACAAGATTCTCATCATACCTCATTGTAAAATTGCCCCAGTATTTGTAATGCATTACAGCATCAGAACCGCAGCCCTAATTAAAGAGGAGCTCTTCGAAACGTCACGTTCTTGCAATACAGAAACACCTCGTCTATTTGGAAAGTTACAGAAGCAACTGCAAGGCCAGCAATATAATTTATGACCTTACATGAAACATGTTTCTCAGATTACAAAAAAACCTGTTCCGCTGCAGAAGCACTTCCCTAAGAGCACTACTAGAACCATAAACAAAAACAGACTAAAAACAAATACTGACAGAAATGTACTCAGTTACACTCATGCCATACAAAGAAAATCTTTCTCAATTTTATGGTTACAGTATTTTGTGCTTCCCCAACCTTTTTCCTTTTTTTAAACATTTTCTGTTGTTGCAGAGGAGAACAAGCATGACTGAAAAAAAGGAAGTGGAATATTCCCACATGCTAATATTTTAACGTTATAATCAAGGAATTGGTAAGAATTTCAGAATCCAAACCAATATGCTACACTGTTTCCCACCACTTGCCTGTCTGTGAACAGAGGCAGGTTCTTCACAGGCTGTAGCTGGCAGTTTGGCTACTCAGAACCCACAAACTTTCATTTGGTTTCTGTTCTTGTTGACACATGTAAATATTCTGTGCTTAATATACTCACACGAGAGCTTCGAATATAGTAAATATGCTTTTCTCTGAGAATGCAATTGTATTATCCCAAAAACTCGCAAGTTCTAGATAATCTGTTATAGTATGGCAAGTTATCTAAAAAGGTAAACAGCTGTCTGCACTTACAAAATATGTACAGTACTTAATTTCTCCCCAGTGGTTGTTTTAACTTGTTATAGAGGAAATACTTACAGAGAGCACTGAAAAAGATGTTGAACATTTTGTATTTTTAAAGAAACTTTACTCTTCCACCATACAACATGGTTTTGGGGAAAAAAAAAAAACATGTCAGAAGACAGAGAAATATCAGAATATCAGAACATTTTTGTCTCTAAGTTGAAGGCAGTGTAATGTGAACACTTTCCTATCATTACATTTTCCACAGTGTGTCTAAATGAGCATTATTTCAATTTAACTCATATCAGCTATAGACTTGAAAGATCTTGAGGCTCAATTCGCAAGGGAGTCCTGCACTTTGCATTTAAATGACGTCCTGAAAACGTCACCATTTTTTTATTGCATCTTTCAGTTATTCACGCTCACCTTATGAGCTGAAGAATGAATTTTCTTCCTTATCCTGACAAGAATAGTAACGTAAAGGTTTTGCAACTGCAACTCAGTTAAAAGTCATTCCATGGCTGTATCAGCTCCTGCAACTGAAAAGCTGTCGGTGTTACCTCTAGCCAGAAAGATAAGCACATATTTCCGTGCCAAGAAAGAAGGTGCATTGCTTTAAAAGAGGATGAAAATTAACACAAGTCCTGATGTGACTTCTGGCCGAGGCCACGCACACTAACATGAGTGCAGAGGTCGGTGTGAGCTGGACCTGCGTGACACAGCGTGGAGGAACCTCGCTGCTGGCTCCCCTCGAGATAAACCAGCGAAAACTAAGATGTGATTTTCTTGTTTGTTTGTTCTTGGAGCAATAAAGCAAAATGAAAAAAAAAAAAAAAAAAGGGAGAAAACACTTCC